GCTGAAGCAGCTGCTGGAGATGTGATAGTCAAACCTTCTGGAGCCTCCCAAATACCACATGATCCCAGAAGTCAGTCTCTGTGGTCTAAACCACCCCTCATGCTCTAACTTAGGGGCACAAAACAATGGTACTTTTAAAGCAAGTCAAGGTACAAAAACAAAATCAAAACTACAAAAATAAACCACATACATTATAGAAAAATATCAGGAGTGAGAATAAACACAGTTGGAAAATGTTAAGTAGTTGCACTATTGAGACATACAAGTATTTTGTAAAACACATCCAATTAATTGAGAAAACATTTTAAAGAAAGAGCCCCTTTAATCTATATATGTGTGACCAAGGATTCTTGGTGACCCTTACAGGCTCTGGATATGAATTCTTGCCCCTCTGCTTTACTAGCAGCTTCACCACCGGGACTTGTTTAAACATGAATCTATGCCTCAGGGTCAACTGAAAAAGGGGATATAAAACTATCTACCACTTAGAGACATGCATGCAGTCGTGATAAACCAAGCACTAAATGAAAGAACAGCTATTACAATTTCAACTACTAAGATGTATCATCCTTATTCTTACACAGAAAACAGGATGCCTATGTATCCTGCACACAACAGACTGGTTTTTTTTTTGAATGAATAAATATGTGGATATGTGAATAAATGTCACAGGTTAGACGCTCACATGAAATATAATATGAATGCTGGTGCTGGGTGTTCTCTTGGGAGAATGCAATTATTTCATTATGTTTATTTTAAAAATTTCAGAAATGTCAGTCCGGTCTAAAAACTATGAAAAAAAATAACACAAAGTGCAGTTTAAAAAATATGTCTATAGCATAACTGATAGGGATTTTTAAATTGCTGCTCCAGCGTTATGCATAATAGGGACTGAAAATCAAGTGAACACAAAGGTTTATTAAATATCTATGGAAATGACTGTCAAGTTTCAGAGAATCATTGTGGTTAAATGTAAGCTTTGGGTAGGCAGGGCAATTTCTTTTTTTTCTGTTGGCTAGTACCTGATAAACATCTGTCACATATTAGAGCCTTAGAAGTTGTCAGGAAAAGGAAAACCAAAAATTAATTTTTCTCAATACAACCTCTAAATGGAATATTCAAATTTAAATTTATTTTATATGTTTTTTGTTACTTGAAAATACGAATGGCAGTTCTTACTCACTTTACGTAGGTCTTGGGTTTGTAGCTACTTTTCCACAAGTGAGAAATGAAATAGGAAGCCAACCAGTGCCTTAAAAATGCATAAGCTGTAATGTGTATGGGGGTGTTAGGGGCAGTGGTTAAAAATGCATATAGCACATTAAAATTTCTCAGGAATATGTGACCTAAACATTTTTAGAAGGAAGACAGTAGGTTGGGAAAGTAGTAGTTGATTTCTTCCTTATGGTATTTTTAAAAAAATGAATCTACCCTTGTATTGTATATATACATAATAGATACTTATCCAATGTTTAAGTTCAATTTCTAAAATTCACGGAAAACTAAAATCAAAATGCAATGTCTTATTATAACTCAAAGTGTATACTCTTTTTACTTCCCAATTTGCCTCCCAAATCCATACTACCAATGTTCTCACTACCACACGCCTTCTTGTCCCCAAGTCAGACTTTATTCTCTCCCTACTTGTAGTTCAGAATACAACTTGACCTATTTGAACACATCCACTGAGAAAGCAAAAGTAACAACAAATGCCAAACCTTAGATCTATAAGGAGCTAAGCATTTCATGTTTTAGAATGTTTTACAAAAATGAACATGTGATACAAAAACTTAAATGGATGTCAATCTCTGTGGGCAGACTTATAATAAAACAGTAACAGAAAAAGAGGTGTAAGTTATAAATCAAACCACATGTGCACTTAGGTAATTTTTGCAGCTGGAGAAAACTGCAAATATTGTTAAACATTAGTGCACCAAAACATGAGTGTAAGTATTCATTTTTTAAATCAACACTTTCTTTAGAAGTTATCACTGGGAAAGGACTTCTGTATCAGTCACTAACCAGCATTTTGACTGTGATCTCCAGGGTCATCAGCTCCTTCTGATCACAGAGAAGTATAGGAAGGATAAAATCTAGTTCTGAGATCCCAAGCTCAAACGAACTCAGCAAGCATGGGACAATCCTCCTAGGAGCACTAGAGACTGGGCTTCTAAAACACCCCAGGGCAAATTCTTGCTGGCTTCCCATTCCCTCTTCAACCCTAGTCTGCAAAAAGAATCTATTTGCCCATAGGATGGACATTCTACTGAGCATAATAGTAAGGGACCTTGCAGCCATACTCTTACTGGGGTATTTTATAACACTGAACAAAACCCTTAATGTACAGCAAAATGTATATGCTGAATTGTAAGCTCAAAATTCTTGAGTGAATGAATAAAAACTCCACAGGGAGTAAAAAAAAGTCTTAACACTTAGTTAGCATCTCTTAATGTTAGGCCCTGTTTTGTTTGAGACTGAGGCATATTTATTTGCGAGGCATTTTTCACCATAGCATCTTCATCACCAAATCTCAACCAGAGGGGGAAAAAAAGAGAAGTTTTGCCAAGCTCAGCATTTATTTTGGGCTGAGGCCTCATAGAGGCCTCTGGATTTCTCATCTTTAATAACTTATGACAGAAAAGAAAATAAAGAAGCAAATGGAAAATAGTTCATTATTAAAACATTCCGAATTGTGTATCAGATTCACAGATTCATTCTAGAGAAAGAAAAGATAACAATGCAGCAGAAAACAAATAACTCCCTAATTTAGAAAACAGGCTGTATTTTTTCATAATGTTAAATATTAAATTAATTTCAAATATTTGCTGCCACTGTTAAGCTTTGCATAATATCTCAAAAGATTTTTTTAAAGGAAGTATGGTTGTAACTACAACCAATGTTGGAGTTACAGCCTGGTGTCATCTCTTAATGATTACAGCACAGTCTCCAGTTACATGCGGCCACGTGTTCTGCTGAAGGCCTTTCTACAGAAATTCACCCATGTATGACTCCAAAACCAAGTCCTGAATTTCACTGTCATTCTGTTTAATGTCATTATTGCCTGTATTCAATTCATTTCCCATGGTAACATTATGTTCACAATGATATTTTTAAGCTACAGGGAGGTGAAGCTTATTGGCTAAATGTGAATGTCATTTAACAATTAGTGCTCACTGCCTATGTATTAATAAATACCTGCACTGGCACCATTTTCTCCAGCTCCCAGTACATGCCTTCAATCTTTGCCTGAATTTACTTCCAAAATCAATGGGACATTTAGTAACCTGAAGATACATGAGATTCTTATACTGAGTATTTATACATATTCTACCTCTGAGTAAAAAAAAAAGTTTATTTCTAGGACAGGGCAAAATTTCAAATGCTAGTAACCAAGTGACATATTATCTGGAGTTGCCTACAAAACTCAAAGTCCCAGAGTTATGATTCACCTGCCTCATTAATATTATCCTATTGATTTAACTGTTTAATTAATTTAAATTACTTTTACTTGGTAATAATTATATATCCTCTCTACTACAAGAGTGATGGAGTGAAGACAGGAGATAAGCTAAATTGAAAAAAAGAGTTTGCTCTGATTTTGGAGAAATTGACACTTAACAATGGAGAATATTTTACCTGTGGCTAAAGCTTACCCTAAAAGAAAAAAAGAGTTTGCTCTGATTTTGGAGAAATTGACACTTAACAATGGAGAATATTTTACCTGTGGCTAAAGCTTACCCTAAAAGAATACAGAAAGCTACGGTTAACTATAAACTTAATTCATTTGCTTCATTCCTACCATTGCTACCAACTATCAAATAACAAAAGCTGACAGATGGTAATGCAGCAAACCTGAAGTGCATGGCATTTTCATGAAACAGCACAAAAGCCTATCTTCCTTCCAAAGGTACGCCATATCTTCACGAGCATCACATTAGAACTACATTTTGAGAATATCCCAATTGCAGAAATGCCTACAGCAGTCAGAACATTCAAGTCAAAAGGTCTACCAGACTAATATGCAGAATTACATTTAAGCGTGAATTGAAAGAAAAACTTCAAAAATTAGCAAGGATCTAGTTAAAGCAGCACTTCAATTACACTGTGTCAGGGAGTAACCCTACCCTGGGTTTGGGCACTGAGGACAACATTATACCCACATGTACACAGTGACCACATCTGAAGCCCACCAGGAATGGGCTCACAGCACTTTCCCTTTTTTATTTTAAATAAGCTAAGCATTACCAAAAATGGTCTTTGGTTTTAAATTAAGAAACAAGGGCAATCTCTCTCTGGACTTTTAGCTGTCCTCCACCAAAATTCATTCTAAAAACTCCAATACAATAATAATAAGTCTCTGTTTCATTTCAAAAATCACTGGTGGCATGACAGGCATCTCAGAGAAAAAAATAAGATTCCACTAATTTAAAAAAAAGGTAAATCAATGCCGCAAAACTAGTGACAAAATCCTAAGGAACAGTAACTATTCAACCTTTAGTTACAGGGAAGAGATTTGTTTGTATTTTTATAATTATTTTAAATAAATGGTCTTTACTTCCTTTCTCTTTTAATGAGTAAAATAATCCAAAACTGTACCCTTCTCCAGGTAGTATGGTGAAATTGTGCACATTAACATACTGCCATTTCCACTCACTGAAGATTCCTGCAAGGTACACCACCTTTCCTCTTTCTTAAATTAAGAGCGCTTAGGAGGACGTAGCTTCCATGCTCAGAGCACTCAGAAGAGGAATCTAAAAACAAGCTAGTGTAGTCTTCTGCTGAGCTGTTTTTTCCTTCGCTCTTTTCCCCAAGGAAGAAAAAGCGTAAAGGCTGCTCAGAATGAATCAGGCATATTTTTAAAAGTCACCAGTGGTCACGGCACTTTGCATTTTTGGCAATATCTTGCTTCAGATACCAGTTGCTTTAGATTATGGAGCCCCATACAACCTCGGACCATGGCTGCCCATGTCTTATTATTTATGACATGCTATGCTAAGTACCTGTGAAAGGGGGCACTCCTTGGCCAACGAACTCTGATTCATATCTTTCAGTAAGTCCTTCAGAGCATTCCTTACTGTGGTGTGCGACCATTGTTCGGGAGGCAAGTCTTCTAGTTTGGGGCAACTATTTGAGACATAGATTAGAAAGGGGATTATTATAAGATTGCATCCCGCTGCAAAACATTCCTTTAAGACAGACAGATTTCATTTTGCGCATCAAACAGATGCATCTGGAGATTGCTCTCGGTCTCCTGATTGTTCCGATTAGTTAATTACTTTATACAACACATCTGCTGTATCGATGCATGAATTATACATCAGCTGCCTGTGGTGGCTATTTTTTCATGTTACTTCTACCTTCCTGCTCTGATGCACTTGGGAAGACAATTTAAGGTGTACTGCTTTCTCACGAGCCATCGTGAAAAGCATTAACGTATCAGCCGTTTCCGTTTCGTGACTCTGTTCATACGAATTAAATTGGTAAAAAGTATATAAATAAATAACATGGTAGCAATAGTGAATAAGGCATTCTTTCACAAAATGTACACAGATGGCACACTGTTCATGATATGCAAAAATATTTTTCTCTTAAGTAAACTTTATGTAAAATGCCTTCTTGTAATGCATCATATAATTGACTAAATATAAAAGTCTTGTCTTTTAATATCCTGCACAAACCTACAAATTTGGGGGTGCTGCTTTTAAAATACACACTAAAGTCAGGAAAATAAAAAAGGGGTAAGATAACAAAATCAATTTGGATGAACCTTTCTAAAACACAGAGCAAATAAAAATTGAAAGCTGACTAGAGATGCTTTATTTCAAAATATCAGGTTAAGTGGAACGTTTTGCCCTAGAATTGTTGTCCTGACTCACCTGTGTAACTGAATTTTCAATGTGACCACATGATACACGTCTTGAAGCATATCTGCTACTGTAGCATCAGGGGCATCTGTCACATAAGACAGTGGGACTGGATTCCACTTTCCAACTTGGATTAGCCCTATTCCAGATAAAGAGAATATGTCACTAAATATTTCAACCTTCAGATAATATATATAATGAGAGGTCTTTTTATTTTTATTTTTTTCACTGCTTCTACCACAAGCAATACTGTTATTTCTGTTTGAATGATTTCCTTCCCTCTAAAAAGCAGGTCAATGAAAATATTCACAGCTTAGCTTTCCAAATTGTGAAATTATGTAAATGACAATAGGGTTGTTTATTATTTTGGAAATAAAACCCCATTAATAAAACCTATGCATAGGCCACATTTTCCTAACTTACAGGAAGTTCTAATAAGACATAGCTGAACCAGTTCTAAATGGCTTTACGATTTAGATAAGATTCTCTATTGCAATGGGAATCAGCATTGAAAAATACTTTACAGCCCATAAAACCATCAGAAACAGAATAAAAGAAACAGAACTAGATATTCAGTCATAAATGCAAATTGACTCTCAACAGTCCATCTGCTCAAATACGCTCCTCACTTCCTTGTGGGTCCTCAGCGGAGCAGATTATTAAGGTCAATAAGCATACTAATGATTCAGCTGAAGTAATTTAAAAAAAAAATCTACCTCGACATTCCACACAAGCAAAATGTGTGTTAACTAAACCAAACTGAATTAAGCCAATTTTTTAAAGCCACAGTCTGTAAGGAACCAATGTAATACTCAGGCTACAGTTCTTTGAATAAAAACATTCAGTGCTTTCTCTGCAAGGTAAACAAAGGATGCTAAGCTATTTTTCCAACCCAACATATGCATTATTTACCTTTGGCTTGGGCAGCAGAGCTATGCGAATAACCCAGAGACAGCAATGCCATTTCTATCAGCTGGTTGAAAAGCATATCCTTTCTCACCAACACAAATTCCGCATGCTCCTCCTTGCAATCATATTCAATGGCGTTTTCATAATGTTCCACCACGCAGAAAACTGGTAGCATGGTTCCTATCAAAGAGACAGAGAAAAGAAGACGCAAACCAACAATCTTCAGAAATACAATCTGGGGGGAGGAAAAACTAAGCCATGAAAATACATCTTCACAACAGTGAGAGAAGGGGAGACTGTTTCCAAGGCAGACAGGGCACAGAAATACAGGCAGCATGCACAGACATATACACTCTTTTATTTTTTAAAGTTGTAAGAGAAATATTTAAATAGAAAGTAAACTTGGTGCTAAGGTAACTTGACCTCTGCTTTAATGTTAACAGTGCATTTTTCACAATTAATGCAGAATTACCTTTTTGATCAGATAATAATGCTGATGAGAGAGAAATGTCTTGATCTGCTGTGAGTGGTAGACAGTGTGCAAATGTAAGTCACAACAGTTGTCTTCAGAAGAACCCACCTTCATGCTTCCTACACACTTTTGTAAATATTAAACTTTTCCTGTCTCCAAATTACCTTTGACTATAAAATTATTAACATTTTCTTCCTTTTTTAAGATAACTGCTTTAACACTTCCATAAAAGAAACACAAAACTTAACCAAACTGATGTTCAAAATGTGATTTCAATATGTGAATAATATAGATAAATAAGATTTATTTTATGGCTACACATTTAATCTACCTGACTAAAAAAGATACCATCATAGCAAACCATACGTCTTTAAAATGAACAATTTTTGATATAGCAAATAGGATAAAAATTAGAGAGAGAAAAGGGAACTGGCCTCATCAGGACATATTAAGATAAAGGAATCTGCATAGATTTGATGTGTCCACTCATTATTTACTTTAATTCACTGTAACAACTCAGTAGCCAGATGATTAACAAGCACAGGTCACATAACTGTTAGAAAAGGCTCCCAGAAACTGAAATCACGGAATGCTGCAGCACTAAAGGTGTTTATGCAGCGCACCATCAGATTTGCAGTGATCAACTGAAAAGGGTTAAAAGCAGATGCATCTGAACTGTACTGTGGCAAACTGCCAGGAGGGTATCATCTTTAGCATAAATGATGACAAGGGTTACTTTAACAGGGCACCCAGGGTCCCCAATTAGTCCTATAACATTAATGCTTCCATAAGCTCTGCCCTCCAGACTCACAGAATCCTACCAACTCCTGTTAGATGTCTGGTGCATATCAACCAGAGCTAAAAATCAGGATTTCCTCCTGACACCAGAGATGCCCTTTAAAAATGCTCTATTTGGTGGTTTCTGCTGAACAAAAGCCAGCAGTAAAACAGTTACATTTTTGTACATGTGCATCTTCACCAAAGCTTTAGTGAACTGTTCACAAGAGATTCTAGCTCTGGCAAATAAACCCCTTTAGGTTTACTTAGGAAAGCTCACAAACTCATTCAGAGGTACCCAACAGGGTAGGCATGAAAAACAAACCACAGTGCTTGCCAATATCCTTGTCATTCATTCAGCTGCTTTATACCAGAGAGAGAACCTGTCAGGGATCAGAAGACTTGGGGAGACCACAGCAAAAATAGCAATACCCAAACTGGTGATTTCTTCCTTGGCTTAAGGTACTTTGGCAAAATCTCCTAAACAAATAAAGAAAAACATACAACCCCCTTTTTCTTAAGTAGTGCTTTCTCATCTCCGCTACATTTTTATCTAGCACCTGTCAAACAGAAAACCATGCACATGATAAGATGAAAAAACAAAAACAAAACAAAACACGACTACCACCACCAAAAGGCATTAGTAATTTTGTTGTCTGAAGTAAGCAGAGAACCTTCTCCAATTAAACTGCATTTTAAAAATAAGTCACTCTGAATGCAATGTTTAAAAAAAAATAAGCATTTTAGGAGGAAGTGAAATTACTGTACTTTGGTTTCTCCTCCCCGTCCTGATGGCTTTAAAGAGTTGGGTTAGTACAACAAAAACATACGCATTGATTTTTCCTCTTACAGAATGATACAGACATGGTCTACGCTATGCTGCTCCTTAGACCCATGAAATAACTGTAGATTTTTCCAACTGTTGAAATATGTTGGATTTATTTTGGACTTTATTTAGGGGTATCCTGTAAATAATTAAGGTGGCTACTGATAAAGTGACAATAGTATCATTTAATTCCAAATCTAGCTGCTAAATCTTCTAGCAAACTGTCACAGTTGCCTTCCTGATACTTGGAATAATGCTGAACAGGAGCCTGCTCTGAACCGTCTGATTATTTGTGCTAGTGTTTGGTGAGACTTCCAACTACAGCAACTTCATAACCTTCCAGCATTAAAAGGGGAGTGCACTGGTCACTGCTGAATACTAAAAATACCACATGATTTAAACCTGGAGGCAGTCTTAGAAGCTTTTGCTGAAGGTTTATGAGCCTGTGTAAACAGCACGTCTGCCATAAGGAGCAGTGAAGTCTGTAGAATCCTTGTCTAAAACTGTCCTGGCATTAAAGTTTGCTGTGCAAATATCACATAATACCAGAGACAGCTGAAATCTCCTATTTAGGAATTTATGGAACTTATATGTTTGCAGGCGTCAGAAAGTCTTTTTTATAGAGCCCTAGTGCTTCACAGTACAATATTAATGCACTCTGTTTGAAAAGCCGTAATAAATTATATTTTTAATGCTCTTACCCTGGCTTTCTTAAGATGCATACATTCTTGGCAAACAATCAATAAATAGGGTAATCATGAGAAGAGGCCAAAGAATTTGCTGAAGTGCTGTTTTTCCATTTTTAATAGATAAAGATCTAACAATACGGACTGCTGTGTCTGTTCATTTCAGGATCAATATATTCTTTGTTTTCGCCAAACCAAGGAAAAAATAAATGATTGTATGATAAATGTTATGCATCAAACACAATGAAATTCCTCTGCCTTCTAACTTTATCTACTTAATATTCTTGGTTGCTAAAAGATGCATTTTTATCCCTTGCTTAGCAAATCTAAGGAAAAATCTCAATCCTATACAGTTATTCAGAGACAAAATAAAGACCATTATGAGGCACACAAATTATACTAAGTACAAGGCACCAATTTACAAAAAAAGTGTTGACCACAAAGTTGTTAAACTTCATCAATTTAATATAAAATTGGTAGAAAGGAGTCACAGTTATACACCCTCCCCGTATAAACTTGCCTAAATCTGCCCTTCCTTTATCCAAAATACCCAATTACAGCAAAAGTCAAAAACTAGAATCATCAGGTTTTTCAGTGCTAAATAATGAATTTGCTCTTAAAAAAACAAACCACTAAAAAATGACATCAAAGAACTTTTCCATCATATCACATAAAATTTACATTATCTCTGAAACTGCCTTACAACTAGCAATCCTATGAAAAAACTAGGGCAATACTCAACCTAAGTGTTCTCATTCTTAATCAGGGTTAATTTAAGCAACAGCCCCCTACACCGTCCACTACAGTGACACCTTATCAATGGGAGCCTTGTGTAACCAAGACCATTATATTTAATTCAGTACTTATCATCCAAAACGTCCACTGATTTCATGCTATAGTAGAGGAAGATGCTCCAATTCAAGCACAGAGCCTACATTACACTGACACAAGCAGCCTGGAAGGTAACTAATTTCACATCAGCAAGAAATCAAGATAAAAGAACATACAGACATGTTCTGTCTCTCCTCCCCCACAAAAAAGTAGGCTTGGGTAGACACAAGGGCTCACAGCTTTCCAGGATTTGGCTTGAAAGTAGTTACCTTTCCTAAGGTTGGTTTTCATCAGATGGCCCGAGTGTTTTAAAGGCACTCCCTGCATTTTTGCACCTGTACTCCCAAGCCTTCCTCTTCCTAGCGGGCTCCCGTTCTGCTCCAGGCGGGCAATCTTGGCTGGTGGACCCTTCGGATCGCTCACATTGTTAGACATTTCTGAATGTTCTTTCCCCTGAGTTGCCTCGTTCAAATGATCCATACTCAGTTACTCTCTAAAGATCACCTGCCAGAATTTTAAAAAGAAGACATGTTATATGTGAGTGGAAGTTTGTGTATATATACATACCATGTAAATATTTTATCCCTAGATATTTTTCTCCACAAATATAATGTATTTGTAAGGTTGCTTAACTATATATATAATATAATGCACATGTTATTCTATTTCTAGATAACAGCATTACATTTCCATTCAAGCTAACAGAATCATTTGTGGGAACTACCAACACACGAGTAAAAAGGTAATTTGTCACCTACCAACAGAACTAAGTGGGTGGACATGGAGACTTTTAGTACAAGAATTACCACAAATATAGCTAAAAAGAAAATAAATTGTATTTATACAGTTGTGATTTTTTAACAATTAGACACTCATTATAGAACACAACAGCCAACACAACCTTCAAGGATGGATTGTCACAGTCCAAATGGATTAAATCTGATGCATGTTTACATTTTTACATATAGTTTAATTTTTATGATACACACACATACACATACACCCCACCTCAAAAGAAGTTAGCAACACCTGCATTTTAAAGTTCCCTTGGCTTTACAGGTTAATTTGTAGAAAAGTTTTCTGTCAAAGTTTCAAGAGTTATGTGAACTGTTAAAGATCTAGCCAAGGCTTGGCTCAAACATGTAGTTTGGATTTCATCCCTAAGCAAACAGAAGTGGAGGAATTCTTCAAAGACCCCAGGTACTGAAGCATTACAACTTATGTGTTTTAGAGTTAATATTTAGGTGCCCATTAGTAATAGAATTTTGCTAACAATTTAAATAGCAAAACACCTGAAAACATTTGGTGGCATGCACATGAAAGTGCCAAAATGCTTTTTAAAAAAGCTGTGATGATTTTGATAAAACACAATCACCACTGTTTAAAAATATTCTCAGTATGCAATTAAGTCAACATCTTAACTTCAAAAAAAAATAACAGATAAGTGTTTTCAGTTATACACTGGACATCAATTTTCACACTGTTTATAATAAATCAGTACCATATCAAAGTCACTTCTAAAATACAGTTTTAGCTAGAATTGATAAGAACAGGTGAGTAGAATTATTTTATGAACTTTCATGGTACTATGAACAGTAAGGGAGAGGAGATCATATTTAGGAAAACCAGAGAGAATATGATAATTACCACTTTCTTCCAGCTGTCTGGTAATTGGACATATCTTGTACTTAAATAAAAATTATTATACCAAGGAAGCTACTTAGATCTGGATTTGCAGAAAGCCAGCCTGTATTAGCATGGCCTTACCCTAAGCATTTTTTTTTCCTGTTTAACCATAGACTATTTGGTCCATTATAATCAAGAAAAAATGCTGAATGGGGAGGAGGGAGCATTGGTAATCTGTGGGTTTAAAAGGAACCTTAAGAATGCCAGTAGAAAACTATAAAGTTTGAGAAATAATGGCTATTTATCTTTGTACTCCAGGGTGGCACACTGAGAACTGGAGGTTTACTGTTGATCGAGGTCCCATCTGTTTTTGGTTATGAGGTTCATTAACAATAAATGTGCCTCTTTTTAACCACTTTTTACCAAGATTACTCTTTCCCATTATATTAAACTACAGTGTAAAGTAAAAATTAAAAAGCGATGATTAACTTATTCAAAACACTCTTTATAACGTTTCATGTGGATTATAATAGAGTTGCTTTTTCTGAAATTGGTTGCCTTGCCCTAGAGCAGAAGATAAATTTTAAAACGTATGATTTGAAAAGAAAATGCTTAACCCGTGGGGCAATTTAAGAGAAAAAGAAAAAGAAGACAACAGCACCAAAGTGCCACAAAACATATTAACTAGTCCTGAAGCTTAACAGCATTATCAACTGTACAGGAAATGAAAGTGATAGTTATAATTTAGTTAATGTACTGACAATCAAAACATTATAAAGGTCTTGGAAAATTGTCCTCAGAATATCCACCTATAAGCGTTTATTAAACAGTCATCTAGTAAAAAGATCTACATTATAAAGCAAAATTACATGCACATAAAACACACAATTTACTCATTTAAACTCTATGCCCAAGGCTAAAGTTCACCAAACGTCAGTTTGGAATTGCAAAGAGCAGCCTCCTCAGGGCCTGCTGGACTGACAGCACGGGAACTAACTACAGTCTCAACAGATGCCAGCCTGAAGAGTTTGTTTTGAGTTACACGTTTTAAAACCCGTTTTAGTGTAACGTCTGGTTGGCACACTGAAAGCAGGCTACTTTCTCAAAATCCCATTTCCCTGTCCATAAATTAAGTCCATATATGATAATGACTGAATAAAACAGTACACTCAGACACAGCAATTATTTCATTTAAAAAGAAAAAGCACGAAATTCCAGTTTCAAGAACCTATTTTTGCAGTGTGGGATCCTTTTCAGCGAGTTTTTGCTGGCTCTCCTCCCTCGCCCCCACAGAACCCCATAATCACATTTTAAGAGATTGTGCCCTTATCCATTCCATATGGCCGGCACGATCCAGGCCAAGCTTTCACTGTGACCTTTTAAAGAGACAAAGAAGCAAAGTACTATCTAGAAACAGAAACACTGCAGTTTTACTGAGTGAAATTAGCAAAACCGACCTGAAACTCACCACTTCAAAACTTGACAGCATATAAATAACAAAAACAAAGGAGATTTCCTTTGCAGCCGGGGTTCTTGAAGAGAAGTTCAAGACTGATGTTTTCTATGTCCTTTTTTTTTAAATAAAAAAAAAAAAAAAAAAAACAGCAGCAGACCTGAAGGCGACTTCCCCTGAAATTGTATTATTTTCTCTTCCCCCTACCCCCGCCCCACTAAAAGGGGGAAGGGCAGAAATAAACGTCTAGAAGAGTAGCCATGAGAAAGGGTTTTTTTTTTTTTAAATCACAATTCGAAAAACAACATATATGGTTCGTAAAATGTCTAACCTCAAAAAACGGGGTTTTAGATGGGGGAGGAGGGAGAGTGGGAAGTAGGGAGGAGGGCGAAGATAAAATTGATCTGACAAGTGATTCGTTGGGGGGGGAAATCGTAAAAACAAAGCAAAACCCGTTGTGAGCTGTACACTGTGGTGGTGCTGGGGAGGCGAGGTGGTAACTGAGGATTCTCTTAAAAAGAAGAAAAAATCACTGCGGACGAGGTCTCCGGGAGGGGAAGAAGGTCCCCCCGCGCCCCTCCGTGCCTCCGGCTCGCGCGGGCTCTCCGCCGTGAGCACGGAAAGTCTACTTCTGGCTGTCACTTGCGATATGATCCCCAGCAACCCGGGAGCGCAGGGAGGGAAGCCACCTCGCCTCCCTTCGGTCGCCCCCGCCGCCCCCCCTGCCCCACCGACTGCGACTAATATTAACAAACCTTAAACTTTCTTCCCACAGCCTCGCACCCCCACCGCGGGCGCCCACCAGGGAACAGAGAGGGCGGGGGGCAGGAGGTCACGGAAAGAGCCCCGGAAAGGCACTGAAAGGCCACTTTTGCCTCGGCCCTCGCTGACGACCGCCCCGGGGACCCTCTCGCTGCCCATGGACGCGGGGCGGCAGGCGTCCGGAGGCCGAGCGGGCGGGCGGAGGGGAGGAGGCCCGGGGCGAGGGGGAGGGGGAGGGGAGAGAACTGGAGGCACCCCGCCGCCTCGCCGCCCCCTCCCCCCAAAAAGTCGCCAAGCTCTCACTCAGCCAGAGTCCGAGGTAAACAACGAGCACCACAATGGCACTGGGACTTGGGGGAAAGAAGCCCGGAAACCCCGGCAAAACTGGGGGCGAGTGTCCCGACACGGAGGGAGAGGGCGGCGCGCGGGCGGCCCGGCGCTGGGTTGCGCCCCCCGCTAGACGCGGCCGCGGCGGGTGCGGAGGCGAGGCCGGCCGCCGGGCGGCACCGGGAGCGACGCGCGTGCGGGCGCGTGTGCGTGCGTGTGAGCGCGAGTCCCCGGACGGGCTGCTCTCTCCCCCTCGCTCGCCCTCCGCGACGGCTCTGCCCCCATTAAAGCAGGAGTTGACTCATCCCGGCCGCCGCCGTGCCCGGCTCCGCACCGCGCGTCCGCCCGGGCTGCAGCCCTCCGTGCCGCTGCTGCCGCCGCCGCCGCCGCCGCTGCCGCTGTGGCTGCCTCTTCTTCCTCCTCCTCATTTTAATACAGAATCACCCGCTCGCAGCCCCAGCGCCGAGCACGCAGTCTTCTCCCGGCCGCCCGCGCCGCCCGAGCCTTCCCCAGCGGGGCCGGCTCCGCGCCGCGTCCGGGGAGCGGGAGCGAGCGAGCAAGTGGCGGCGGAGGGGGGCGCGGAGGAGGCAGGGGTGCGAGCGGAGGCGGCGGGGGGCAGGGTGCACGCGAGGCGGGGAAGGATGGGGATTAAAACCCGGGCTGGAGGGCCGGGATTGGGGAGGGGGCGGGGGCGGCGAGTTAAAAAGCTGAAAGACAAGAAACTAGTGAATGAGTGAGGGAGGGGTGAGCGCACGATTTCCGGCCCCGGGCGCGCAAGAATTTGTAATGAGCTTGATTAGAGTGAGGCGGCCCGACATTTATTACACACAATACCCAGAATAACAGGGCGCTGCGCGAGGGCCGGCGCCGGCCGCCGCGGGGCGCGGGGAGGGCGCCGGGGAGGAGGGGCGGCCGGCGGCGGCGGCGGCGGCGGCGGGCGGGAGGGGCGCGCGGCGCGGCGCAGGGGCAGGTGCGCGAGCGGCGGCGGAGGAGGGGCAGGCCCGGCGGGGGCGGGGGCGAGAGTGAGGGAGGAGGGGGCGAGGGCCCGGAGCACTAGCCGGCCGCCCACACGCCACAAAAGCCACAGAAAGGAGTACGTTGGGAGCGTCGCGGACGGGCACCAGGGGGACAGGCGAGGCAGGGCGGGAGCACGGCCCCGGCACCCGGGCGGGCAGGTGACAGGCGCAGAGGACCGAGGCGGGGGCCCTTCAGGAAGTGGCTAAGGGGACAATCGGGAGGTCGATCTTTGCGGAGAAGCGCGGAGGGTGCGGAAGCGTTTGCGGAGGAATAAAGGCCAGGATCCTTGAAACGATCGGAA